TATTTCTAAAATCTTTGTACATTCTATGGATTTCTAAATTCTAAAAGTAAAAACAGTCTATTTATTTTAAGTAAAGTATATCAACATAATATATATAAATAAATTAAAGTTTCTAAATTTTAGTAGCATTATGTGTAATTATCCTCCAAGAGTATTTTGTAGAAATATAATTTTACAAAATAAGTAGTTCCACAAAATAGGCTTAACTGAAATGTGAACTTTTTGGGTTCCATTTTGAACATTTTTTTTGTTTTGGTTTTAATTAAAATCATCCCTAATATTAATTATAATATTTTTTTAAAGCAAGAAAAACTTTTACGTACTCAAATTACTTCATATATACTCAAATCATTTGTCATTTCGATTTTTCCTTATTTTAAATAACTAAATTAAAATTTCTAGTTTTAATTATATTTTTTAGAATATTATTTTTAAAATGCCAACTTCATCAATCTTGTTTCTGAAATATTTTAATATATACTTTTCAATTGATATATGTGTACAATTGCCGTATATTCAAACAAAATGTAGATTATAATCATTAATAAGTTAAAATAGTTAATTAACTTTAAAATCAACGATATTATTATAGTTATTACCTTTTTATCATAAATTTTAGATTTTTAGTTTTACAAAATAAAAATAATCATATAAACAAACATAAATTTACTAAATAAAGATGAAAAATTGATATTAACTATTAAAACTTTGATTTGATGTATTAATTAAAATAATTGTAATAGCCTATTTTGTAATTATTTATTTTTCTTTAATTTAAGATAACTACTTATAAAATTAAAGATTATCAACACAGCTTTTCATTAATATAGGACTGCGTAGTAAAGGATGGAAAGTTATAAAATTGTTTTCACACATATTTTTTTTAATTAGATTTTTAATAATTAATAAATTAATTTTATATAACACATAAGTAATACCAATAGGTTTTACGTTTCAAACCTGCATTTATAATATAAATATTTTATGCAATTAAAACAAAACTTCCATGAATTAAAGTATAAAATATTGAGAACTTCTTAAATTATATATCAATACAAATAAAAATAAATTGTTAATTTGTGTATTTTTATAATTTTTTTATTTTTTATATTAAATATTGAGAACATTTTATTTTTTTGGTTTTAATTAATAACATCCTTAATATTAATTATAATATTTTTTTAAAGCAATAAAAAATTTAAGTACTCAAATTACTTCATATATACTCAAATCATTTGTCATTTCGATTTTTCCTTATTTTAAATAACTAAATTAAAATTTCTATTTTTAATTATAGTTTTTAGAATATTATTTTTAAAATGCCAACTTCATCAATCTTATTTCTGAAATATTTCGTTATATACTTTTCAATTGATATATGTGTAAGATTGTCGTATATTCAAACAAAATGTAGATTATAATCATTTATAAGTTAAAAAAATCAATTAACTTTAAAATCAACGATATTATTATAGTTATTACCTTTTATCATAAATGTTAGATTTTTGGTTTTACAAAATAAAAATAATCATATAAACAAACATAAATTTGCTAAATAAAGATGAGAAATTGATATTAACTATTAAAAACATTTTGATTTGATGTAATTAATTAAAATAATTGTTATAGCCTATTTTGCAATTATTTATTTTTCTTTAATTTAAGATAACTACTTATAAAATTAAATATTATCAACACAACTTTTCATTAATTATAGGACTGCATAGTAAAGGATGGAAAGTTATAAAATTGTTTCCACACATATTTTTTTAAAATTAGATTTTTAATAATTAATAAATTAATTTTATATAACACATAAGTAATACCAATAGGCTTTACGTTTCAAACATGCATTTATAATATAAATATTTTATGCAATTAAAATAAAACTTCAATGAATTGAAGTATAAAATATTGAGAACTTCTTAAACTATATATCAATTAAAATAAAAATAAATTGTTAATTGGTATTTTTGTTTTAATTTTTTATATTAAATAATGAGAACATTTTTATTGTTTTTGGTTTTAATTAATATCATCCTTAATATTAATTATAATATTTTTTTAAAGCAATAAAAACTTTACGTACTCAAATTACTTCATATATACTCATATCATTTGTCATTTCGATTTTTCCTTATTTTAAATAACTAAATTAAAATTTCTATTTTTAATTATAGTTTTTAGAATATTATTTTTAAAATGCTAACTTCATCAATCTTATTTCTGAAATATTTCGTTATATACTTTTCAATTGATATATGTGTACGATTGTCGTATATTCAAACAAAATGTAGATTATAATCATTTATAAGTTAAAATAATCAATTAACTTTAAAATCAACGATATTATTATAGTTATTACCTTTTTATCATAAATGTTAGATTTTTGGTTTTACAAAATAAAAATAATCATATAAACAAACATAAATTTTCTAAATAAAGATGAGAAACTGATACTAACTATTAAAAACATTTTGATTTGATGTAATTAATTAAAATAATTGTTATAGTCTATTTTGTAATTATTTATTTTTCTTTAATTTAAGATAACTACTTATAAAATTAAATATTATCAACACAACTTTTCATTAATTATAGGACTGGTAAAGAATGGAAAGTTATAAAATTGTTTTCACACATATTTTTTTAAATTAGATTTTAATAATTAATAAATTAATTTTATATAACACATAAGTAATACCAATAGGTTTTACGTTTCAAACATGCATTTATAATATAAATATTTTATGCAATTAAAATAAAACTTCAATGAATTAAAGTATAAATTATTGAGAACTTCTTAAATTATATATCAATTAAAATAGAAATAAATTGTTAATTGGTATTTTTGTATTAATTTTTTATATTAAATAATGAGAACATTTTTATTTTTTTTTGGTTTTAATTAATAACATCCTTAATATTAATTATAATATATTTTTAAAGCAATAAAAACTTTACGTACTCAAATTACTTCATATATACTCAAATCATTTGTCATTTCGATTTTTTCTTATTTTAAATAACTAAATTAGAATTTCTATTTTTAATTATATTAATTATTTTTAAAATGCCAACTTCATCAATCTTATTTCTGAAATATTTTATTATATACTTTTCAATTGATATATGTGTACGATTGTCGTATATTCAAACAAAATGTAGATTATAATCATTAATAAGTTAAAATAATCAATTAACTTTAAATCAATGATATTATTATAGTTATTACCTTTTTATCATAAATGTTATATTTTTAGTTTTACAAAATAAAAATAATCATATAAACAAAAATACATTTACTAAATAAAGATGAAAAATTGATATTAACTATTAAAATCATTTTGATTTGATGTAATTAATTAAAATAATTGTAATATTCTATTTTGTTATTATTTTTTTTCTTTAATTTAAGATAACTACTTATAAAATTAAACATTATCAACACAATTTTTCATTAATTATAGGACTACGTACTATAGAATGGAAAGTTATAAAATTGTTTTCACACATTTTATTTTAATTAGATTTTTAATAATTAATAAATTAGTTTTATATAACACATAATTAATAACAATTGGTTTTACTTTTCAAACATGCATTTATAATATTAATATTTTATGCAATTAAAATAAAACTTCAATGAATTAAAGTATAAAATATTGAGAACTTCTTAAATTATATATCAATTAAAATAAAAATAAATTGTTAATTGGTATTTTTTTTATAGGTTTTTCATTTTTATATTAAATATTGAGAACTTTTTTTTTGTTTTGGTTTTAATTAATATCATCCTTAATGTTAATTATAATTTTTTTTAAAGCAATAAAAACTCTACGTACTCAAATTACTTCATATATACTCAAATCATTTGTCATTTCGATTTCTTCTTAGTTTAAATAACTAAATTAAAATTTTGTATTTTTAATTATATTTTTTAGAATATTATAAATGCCAACTTCATCAGTCTTGTTTCTGAAATATTTTATTATATACTTTTTAGTTGATATATGTGTACGATTGCCGTATATTCAAACAAAATGTAGATTATAATCATTAATAAGTTAAAATAATCAATTAACTTTAAAATCAACGATATTATTATAGTTATTACCTTTTTATCATAAATGTTAGATTTTTAGTTTTACAAAATAAAAATAATCATATAAACAAACATAAATTTGCTAAATAAAGATGAGAAATTGATATTAACTATTAAAAACATTTTGATTTGATGTAATTAATTAAAATAATTGTTATAGCCTATTTTGTAATTATTTATTTTTCTTTAATTTAAGATAACTACTTATAAAATTAAACATTAACACAACTTTTCATTAATTATAGGACTGCGTAGTAAAGGATGGAAAGTTATAAAATTATTTTCACACATTTTTTTTTAATTAGATTTTTAATAATCAATAAATTAATTTTATATAACACATAAGTAATAACAATAGGTTTTACATTTCAAACATGCATTTATAATATAAATATTTTATGCAATTAAAATAAAAATTCAATGAATTAAAGTATAAAATATTGAGAACTTCTTAAATTATATATCAATTAAAATAAAAATAAATTGTTAATTGGTATTATTTTTTTTATAGTTTTTTTATTTTTTATATTAAACTTGTGTGTTTTCTGTCAATTGACAGTTTCTATTGCATTACTTTTTTATGAAAATAACAGTAAATACTAAATTGAATAGCATAGAGTAAAGAGGCTAGAGATATTTTATTGAATAAGATTGATGAATTTAAAAGCAAACCTTTAAAATTTTAGATGTCATCGATTAAAGGGAATCGTGATTATACAATGACAACTAGAATCGAGATATTATGATTTGTATACAATTCGTCTCCAAACCGAGCAAGCAATCCCAAGTAGTCAGATAAGATTTAAGGTCGTTTATAAACAAAGGATCCTACCTGCCTGACAATTGTCACAAAACAAGAGATACTTGTGTATAAACAAGAATTAACAAAAAACAAAAAGACACCAGCCTCTCCAAATTCTGTATTTATTACTATTTCTTCTGTACACCTCTTGTGCCAACACTAACCCTTCAAAACCTGAGAAGAGCATGTTATCTCCAACTACTAATTAACAAACCAAAACTGAACTTCAGCCTTGTGTATGAAGACAACATGTTATGGCATTGTAATTAACTCAACAGGCCACTATAACTTATCTGCAATTCTTCCCAAAGCATCTGCAAGCTTCGTAAGTACTGCTACTAAGTTGTCAACATGGTCCTTCCTTTGCTCCCTATCCTGTTCAAACTGCATATTCTGAGCTTCAAGTTGGGAGCTCACCAGTTTCCCATTCCTCTCCAATGCTCTCACTAAATGATGTTGCACACTCCTTGCTTCTTCATCATCTGCATCTGACTCACTTTTCTTTCTTTTCCTTCCTTCCTGACCACTTCCTATATCAGGTTCTCGGGTGGTAGGTTGGCTTGTACCTGCTGAAAAAATTACTCCAATTCAGAAAGGGCATCCCAATTTATTCTTTTGATTGTTTCTTTTAGTCTTGCAACCAACTATTGCTCCTCTCTTTCTTGTTTATCTTTTTCCAAGGACGGTGAGACAGCTAGGGACATTTTACCAGAAATGTAAAAGTTCAACAACAGTGTAGGAAAACTTAGAAGACATACTACCTCATACCTACAGATTTATTTAATGTTAGTGATTCACTTCAAAAGTTGCATTTCCATTTTGTTGGGCTTTAGTGACAGTCTGAAACATAAACCACACCAACTTCGCCGTAGAAAATGCAATAGTTGGCACAGAGATGAAGCAATATAGACAATTTTAAATTTTACCAAAACTAATTTCTTTAAAACTATATTTGTTTCAAATGTGTATCATGAAAACAACAATTTCCTTGGAACTTCAAGCAGACATGAGAAAAACAAGGACCATCTGAATAAGGTATAAACAGTAAAGGAGCTCGATAGCGATCTGAGGTTTTTACTTTTTAGAGATGTAAGTCAAAGTTCTTGAAAATGACTACCACGATGCCAAATAACCAGGCAATGTGTTAAAAGAGAACAAAACAATAACAAAATAATCCCTTATCTTTGACTTTAGACTCAAAGTCATCCCCTTTCTTTCACATGGAGCACTAATAGTCCTCTATGGTTGAAACGTTGGTGCACATTTAGTCTCTTCCATACCATTCATTTGATATTTAACGTTTTGATCATGTAAATGTCTGTTTACTAGTCTCCTTTTGTATATCATCTGATACAAACTAAATTCCTTCTTAAACTTTTACTTCTAGCTGCATCAAGTGTCATGATTTTTATTTTGTACTTATTGAATATTTTTGTTGTGTTTCACTTCAGTATACATATCCATGATTTTGTTGATTCTTTAGCTTTCTCTCTGTTTACCATAACCAATTGATCTGCGAACCAGATTCTTTTGAGCTTTCCATATGTATCTGGAGCAGAATCAAAGAACCAAAGAAATACAACGAAGAAGAAAATGGAAATAAATAGGAGGAACATATTTGGGCCTTCTAACTGGTGGTTTTATCAAGTTACCATGTCCCAAATATAGGCGTAAGGCATATAATTTAGGTTTTAAAATCACAATCAGAATAATATCCTTTCTGAATGCTCTCAGGCACTAAGATCGAGGAGAATTTTTTCTTAGCCACCCTTTAGTCAGCTTTTGATTTCTTTCCTTTTTTGGGGGTCCTTCTCCGGGAGATGGCCAGAGTTAATGCACTAGGGGAAAACAGCATTTACTACAATGCTGGCTTCAAATCATACGACATCACTAAATGCCATTTAGGAGCAGAAACATGGTAGTGGATCGAGCGCAGCAGGAATTTAATGAGGAGAGTTAGAGTCAGTCACAAAACTCTAAAATGGTTGGTATCAGTCTTTATTGAAGCTTCAAAAACACGGGAAGGTCAGAAGATGGAAGACAAGAGAACATTTTTCAGAGCTCTTTTGTACACTCAAGTACAATGAAAATGGGAGATACATTAGTTTCATTGCACTTCAAGGTCACAAAAAGTCCATAATTATTACACCTGAATGCTATTACAAAGGAGGATGGAGCAATATAGCCCACAAAATAGCGAAATTCATATATACAACAAAGGAGGCAGAACCACCCCAAACAGCAACAACAAGCAAGATAACAGGGTCCTCAAAGAGGTCTGCAATACAAACAGATGGGCAACAGAGGCATCAAAGAAGACACATTTACAGACAACAAAGAGCAACATAAGCATTACAGGAGACACCACTGTGTCAGAAAAGGATCTCTTGAGCAGGTGCCTGGTGGGAAGATTTCAAATCTCGTCACAGGAAACCAAAACCCCAACCCTAAATGAAGTCAGAAGATGGGCATGCAACACCTGGAAGGTAGCCGGCAGTCTCAATGTTTTTGCGATGAATGAAAGAATGTTTCTTTTCGAGCTCCCCTCTAAGAAAATCACAGAACACATACTGAATGCAACTTGGAGTTGGAAGAAGATGAACCTGTCACTTGAATGGTGGAACCCAACCACAGGCTGCTGGCCAGAAGAAATCACTACATCGAGACAGAGGAGGAAACGTCTCTGAAAAACCATCTGCATTGGGCAAGAATCAAGGTGAAAGGAGCCGGGAAGTTGATTCCGCCGGCGATAGAGGTGGTCGGTGGAGGCATGGTGTTCACAATCCCGATATGGGTGGAAGCTCCAGTCACTTTCAGAGTAGAGAAGGAGAAGACACAGGTCGGGGTCTTTGAACCAGTGGGTAATCAGAAGCAGAGACCTATTTTGATGAAAGACTCTACTGTTGGAGAGACTAGTCCATGGGTGCAATAGAAAGTAAGGAAAATTCAAATAAAAGGGCACATGGAGGTTTAATGAAGGGGAAAGGGCCATTATGGGCTAAACTTAAGCCCAAATAATTTTACAACCCAGGAGATAATTAAAATAATGCAGAAGGAGGATATAACAATGGAAACAGAAATTCAAGCCAATATCTCTCATCTTAACACTATAAGTGCAGCTATGGAGATTTTTGAAGGGGAGAAAGAAATTTTGAATGACCAAATCGACAATCCAGCAGACAAGTCAGTAACAACAGGCTCGAAACAGGGTGATGAAGGTGAGATTTCAGTCACACAGTCTGATGATCAACTCGATGTGGTGAATCGCATCAGAGAAGAACCAACAACCCCACTGAGAATGAAATTACCAGCAGAGGAGAATGAACAAATAGAAAACATGACTGAATGGATTGAAGAGTATATAATCAAGCTAAGTACAGAATTTGGGGAAGATTTCAAAGGGTGTGAGAAGAAGATAAAGGAGCTTTTCATGAAAATAGACAACAAGCAACACAACAGAGATATGCAAGCAGTAAAGAAGAAGGGGGTAACAGAATTGAAAAGGCCAGAAATTGACAGTAAATTTTGGAGCTATGGCTCTAGAAGTAAGGGGGAATGTCTACCTATAAATGCTCAATGAATTTGAAAGTTATTTCCTAGAATGTGAGGGGGTTAAATTGTAGTAGAAAGAGAGGAATAGTCAGGAATACACTTTTTAGATTTTGAAAGGCTGACATTGTTTGTCTCCAAGAAACTAAATTGAGAGGGGATATCACAAACATAATAAAGGAAGTATGGGGAAGTAGGTGGGTTGATTTTGTGCAGTTGGAGGCTAGTGGAACCAGAGGGGGTGTAGTGATTATGTGGGATAAACGGAACTGGGAGAGTGTAGAAAGCAGTGTGGGGAAGAGCCAAAACCTAAATTGGCACTTAACAGGAGTCTATGCACCAAATGGCAGAGTGGAAAGGGAGGATACTTGGGGTGAACTAGGTGCTGCCACGGGTCTATACTCAGGCCCGTGGGGACTTCAACACCACTAGATATCCATCAGAGAAGAAGAGATGCCTCAGAATCAATAAAGCAATGACAGACTTCTCTGAGTTCATAGAGCATATGGAGTTGAGAGACTTGGAATTGAAAGGGGGTAAATATACATGGAGAAATGGGGATAGAGAAGATATTGCAGCTAGATTAGATCGATTTCTAATCTCAGAAGAACTGGACAATTGCTTCAAGAATGTTTGAATCTTACAGAGGGTTACATCAGATCACTCCCCTATCAAGCTACAATGTGGTGAATGGAAGGCTTCCAATTCTTACTTCAAATTTGAGAATTGGTGACTTCAAACGGAAGGATTCAAGTAGAAGATCAAGACATGGTGGGAGTCTTTCCCTAGCACTGGTAGCCCTGACTTTGTTCTGGTCTCCAAGTTGAGGGAATTGAAGACTAAACTAAAGGAGTGGAGTAAATCAACTCAGGGGAATCTAGGAATTCAGAAACAGCTTGTGCTGGCAAAGTTGGCAGATCTGGAGGAAATTCAGGAGCATAGAATGTTGCAAGAAGAAGAAGTAATATCCAGAATGACACTCATAAATGAATTTGAAGAAATTACAAAGAAAGAGGAGATAGCTTGGAGACAAAGGTCCAGGGTAACATGGCTTAAGGAAGGGATAGAAACGCCAATTTTTTCACAAAACTGCAAATGCACACAAAAGGGCAAATACAATAGACAGGTTAAAAGTGGGGGAGGTGATGAAGGAGGATCCAGAGGAGATCAAAAAGGAAATAGTGGACTTTTATGAGAACTTGTATGCAGAAACAGAGAGGTGGAGACCCCAATTAGAAATGAACTGCCCCAAAATTAATGTAGAGAACAGGTCCATGCTAAAGGCTCCTTTTGAACCACAACAGATCCTAGAAAGCATTAAGGCATGTGCTGGGGATAAAGCTCCTGGCCCAGATGGTTATTTAATGGAACTTTTCAAGCAATGTTGGGATGTCATCAACTCAGATCTGGTTGGAGCTATTCAAAACTTTCATGAGAAATATTTCTTTGAGAAGAGTTTGAATGCAACATTTGTCACCATGATCCCAAAGAAGGTGGATGCTGAGGAACAAAAAGACTTCATGCCCATTAGTCTTGTTGGGGGGTTATACAAGATCATTGCAAATTTTCTAGCAGAGAGAGTCAAGAGGGTGATACATAGCCTGGTGGATAGACATCAAATGGCTTTTATCAAGAGCAGGCAAATTATAGAAGCCGTTTTGATAGCCAATGAATGTATAGAGACCGGACAGAAGAGCAATAAGCCATGTATTGTATGCAAGCTGGACATACAGAAAGCTTATGACTTCTTAAACTAGGACTTTCTCATCCAAATGCATATGGAATGGGGTCCTAGAGAAATGTGAAAAGAGACTCACCAACTGGAAGAGTCAGTACTTGTCCTTGGGACGAAGATTGACTTTAATTATCAGTGTGATGGATGCATCACCCTCTTATATGATGTATGTCTTTCCTATGCCTGCCAATGTATCTAATAGCATTGATGCTTTCAGAAGGAATTTCTTATGGCAAGGCAGTGAAGATAAGAAGAAGTTTCATCTTGTTAAATGGAAGGAACTGATTGTGAGTAAAAATATAGGAGGCCTAGGCATAAGAAACCTGAGAATCAAAACCAGAGTCTAATGATGAAGTGGTTGTGATAGTTTGCAAATAAAGATAACATGCTCTGGAAAGAGGTCATCATAGCAAAATATGGCATGGAAATAAGTGGATGACTAAAATGATAAATACTCCACATAAATGCACTGTATGAGGGCAATCAGAAATCTATGGCCAGTGCTATAACTCTTTACATGTTATAAGAGTGATAGAACATTATTTATTAAGATAATTTCTTTAAAGCTACTAAAATATTCAAGATAGTAAAAGAAATTGGTTCATTAAAAAATAATACAATTTCTTACGTGTTTCCCAATTGACCTCTAAGAAATAAAATTTTAAGTCATTATCTATTAAATTAATACAACTTAATGAAAAAATGAATTTATTTTTATAAATTTTATTTTTAGTATCAAACTTAACTAGAAAAAGAAATTATTTAAAAAATTATGTGGGTGAGTTCAAGCGGGGCGGGGTGGGTTGAAAATGAAAAAAGTTGTTATGCGGGGAGGAGCGGGGCAGCTTAAAATTTTGCAGGTTAAGCTCTATCTGCCCCACCCCGCCCCATTGTCATCCCTAGGCGTACAAAACCATGACGGATGACTAGGAAATCAGCAGAGTAAGCCAAGTTTAGGTAGAGCTTTCTTGGCCTCCTGTGTATGGCGCAACCAATGACAAAATATAGAATTTGCTATATATGTATGTATATTAGGTTGTTGGGGTATAGCTTAAAGCCAAATGCAAATAAAACTTCCCTGCTATTTTTATGGACTAGCAGTAGTAAGTTAAGTTGCTGGGCAAATTGTCTAGTATGATGACCAGCCTTTTGTCCATAAAATATTGGGAAAATTTGAGAAAAAATTCATATACTCCTTTTTTCCCTTCAAACTTCAACCAAATATTGCTCAATCTCCTACAATAACTCTTCTATATATCCAACCCTCAACTATTTCACTTTTGTCAAGAGTGTGACTTCATAAAAATTACAGTAGCACCACAACTGACGCAATCAGATGAATATATGTCTTCTTTCACTTTCTGTTATCTGCCACATATCTCAGTTGAAACCCAAATAAAACCAAATACACATATTTGTAGGGAAAAACAAGAAAAGAAATAGAATTAACTAAAAGAAAGGAACCTTTCGGTGTGTGCAGAATTAACATGATATAGACGTACCTTGTGTAGGAGAAATTTGAGAGAGTGGTTGATGTTGTTGCTCTGCAATCCAAAATCAAGATAATAAGCTCAAAACAACTTCAAGAAGATGATTGAATCCTAGACCTAAATATTAAAACTAGGTACATACTGGAGGAAAGGAAAAGGAGACACAAAGAAGAGGGAAAAAACCAAATAATTGATAGAAAGAAAGAGGGAGAAAATCAAATAACAAGTTCAAGATAATTAAGAAGACCAAAAAATTTTATTTATTTATTTTGAAACAGGTAACTTGTATTCCTCAGCATTAAGGGCTATGCTGGCCGCCTCCAAAAAGTATTAACAGAGAAGAGAGGAAAAAAGAAGAAGAGAAACAGAAATACTTACAAAGAACCTAAATAATAAGTTTCAAAACAATTTGAATCCCACCACAGCGAAGAGGTAGAGGAAAAGGAAGAAAATTTAGTACTTTCTAGAGGAAAGGAAAATGAATTTTATTACCTAATTTAAATGTTTATTTCTATATAATTGAATTGGATTCATGCTGGACATTCTACTATGATGTAGCAGTATAGGGAAAGGAAGAGAGACTATCATATATGTTCATTGACCTAGAAAAAAAAACTTATGACAAAGTTCCTAGGGGGGCTTTGTGGAGATGTTCGGAGGCTAAAGGTGGACTTGTAGCTTACATTAGGGAGAGATGACTAGATAAAAACATGAAACACTTGCAGCTTATTGAGGACATAACCTAGATAGGGGAATATGAAGGCCGAGAATTAAGTCGAGTGCTGTCAAGTTTTTCTTTCTAGTAGTATTATTATCATTCTCTTATTACCCTATTCTTCGATTTTATATTTTACCTATTATTACTTGGATTCATGCTGGACATTCTACTATGATGTAGCAGTATAGGGAAAGGAAGAGAGACTATCATATATGTTCATTGACCTAGAAAAAAAAACTTATGACAAAGTTCCTAGGGGGGCTTTGTGGAGATGTTCGGAGGCTAAAGGTGGACTTGTAGCTTACATTAGGGAGAGATGACTAGATAAAAACATGAAACACTTGCAGCTTATTGAGGACATAACCCTAGATAGGGGAATATGAAGGCCGAGAATTAAGTCGAGTGCTGTCAAGTTTTTCTTTCTAGTAGTATTATTATCATTCTCTTATTACCCTATTCTTCGATTTTATATTTTACCTATTATTACTTCTGCTTCGTTTATCGTACTATTTGTTGTTGATACTATTATTTTCTATATGATTTTTCACTGCTGTATTTCCTTTTCTTACTGATTTGGATATGCCTTGCTTTAACTGAGGGTCTATCATAAATAACATTTCTACCTTCACAAGGTAGGGGTGTTGCATACATATCACCCTCCCAAGACCCCACTTATGAAATTTTACTTGGTATATTGTTGTATTGCTATAGTTGAATTTAACTAGTATTGGGCAGTCCATTGCTATTTGAAATAGAACAAGAAAAAGATATTTCGGAAAAAGAAATGCTATAAACTTGAATATAAAACCATTAGAGGTATACAATATCACCATTGTAGTGCAATTCTATTGTTTTGAGCACCCAAGTACACAAATGTTTAAAGACAAGATATCTAATAATAAATAATTTCATTTCCACCAAGAATCTAATTCCAACCGTGACGAAGTAAATATGCAGTACAAAATTGTTTGTAGCGAAACTAGTACTAGTACAAAACACAAAAATATTGGGACCTGAGTTCCGTTCCGGGTCGTACGGTTATTCACATATGAAAAATAAATTCACAACTAATACAATATTTTGAGATACAAAATGTTGTATAATTAATTTAATCACACTCCATAACTACTCTACATACAGTATTGAATTCTGCCTAAGCTATGCAGCGTTGATAAAAATAATAAGTTAGGGGGTTTAATAAGTTGCATAAGCACAAGGAATTTCCTAGGGTAAAAAAAGAGCATGTTGATATTATTGCTGACTTGCTGTAGTGGAACATAGAGTGACTCAACAGAAAGCTAGCCAAATAACCATGAGGGTAATGCCAGGATGGATGTGGCATTCAAATTACGGTGCCAATGACAGGTAGAATCTGGCTACTCTGGAATCCTGGGGTGGTTCAGGTTAGTATCTTGGATATTAGCCCCATTTATTCACTGCTCTATTTAAAATCATAGCAGAGACTATCTGATTAATTTTACTGCCACATATGGACTTCATACAATTGAGGATAGGAAGGAGTTGTGGTCTGCAATTGAAAACCTGAACTCTAATGTCCAAAACTCACAGCTCATAATGGGGGACTTCAATTCTATTCTCAAAGGGAAGGATAGGAGCACCCTAGTCATGGATGCAGAGATCAGGGATTTTGAAGACATGATGAATAACTAGCCTAAATGAACTTAGGCCTACAGGGAGATTCTTAGCATGGACAAATTCACATATAGATAGTAAACTTGACAGGGCACTGGTCAATCATGCCTGTATGAAAAGATGGCTTTATCTAGTAGTAGATGCTAACGGACCCTCACTTTTCTGACCATTCTTTGCTATGTGTCACAATGGAGGAGGTACAGACTAGAAGTCCTTAAACCATTCAAGTTCCTGAATCACTTGGTAGGCCATATTGAGTTCCAACACATTGTGGCTGATACATGGGTCCCAACAGTACATGGTAGTCATATGGAAAGAAAATGGAAGAAGTTCAAACTTATGAAAGGTGCACTGAAAACGTACGTCAAATACTAGAGAGTTCTATAATGCTGAGCTTAAAGCAAACTAGAGGATGTTTAAAAACTGCTAAAAGTCTCTCTCAATGACTAAGACCTCTATGCTAAAGAATAGGAGCTGAAAATAAACTTGGGAAAATGGATTGTAACAGAAGAGAGCATTCGTATTGGGCAGTCCATTGCTATTCAAAATAGAAGAATAAAAAGATGTACTCATCTTCGTAAAAAGAAATGCTTTAAACTTGAACATAACACCATTAGAGGTATATCAGTTTTATTATTTTGAGCACCCACCCATGTACACAAATCTTTAATTTCCACCAAGAATCAAATTTAACCGAGACAAAGTAAATATGCAGTACAAAATTGTTTGTGTGTGAAACTAATACAAGTACAAAACACAAAGAAATCACAACTATTACAATATTAATTTAATCACACTCTATAACTATGTATATGTTAGTTGTAATTGAGAAGTACCTGAAATTGGAGTAGGAATAGGAGGGTCATTGATTGGTTTATGAGGAGTTTCATCAGGCTCAAAATCAGAAAACAAGGCATCATCCCCTGATACAGCAGCACTTTTCCCACTATCAAACAAAACTTGTGACCCCAGAGCCAAAACCAAGCCTCCTTCTTCATCGCCATTGCCATCGCCATCGCCACTTCCACGATCAAGAATATCATAGACTTCCCTATCGAAAAATCCAGGTAATTTTTTGTCTCTTCTCAAATCATTCCTCATGACCCAAAAGGAGTCAGTTTCTTCTTTTATCTGAGACTCCCACTCTTTAATCTTCTTAAAATCGCCAGCCAAATTACTCCATCTCTTCCGGCATTGAACTGGTCCACGGTTAACCCCATGTCTTTTACAGTAAGAAGAAACAGAAGCCCACTTGGGTTCAACCTGTGGTGAACCGAATTCGACAACTCCAGTTCGTCCTCGACGGATCCGATTTTCAGCAACTTTTTTCCCCTGTATCAGTACTAGAATTTCTTGTCTAGTCCAACGAGGAAGCCTGGGAACTTTGTTGGAATCATCGGCGCCGTTGAGACGGCCGTCGGAGTCGGTAGACGGAATTAGGGTCAATCGCTCAAGCTTCATACTACTTTTTGAACAAACCCACCCACGTCAGTTAACGGAATTATGATAAACGCCGTTTTCAGTAGGACGCCCCGTTCAGGGGAAGAGAAAGTGTGAGTGTGTTTTCCCTTGTTTTAATGGTAATATAAATATAAATATGATTTCATGCCCTAACCCCCCTTTTGGGTATTAAATAATCATCACTCCACTTATTTGTAATCAATCTCTAATAATCCTTACAATTATCTGTAATTTCTAAAATAAACAAGATTACTTACTTTATACACTCATTTCATCTTTCCCTCACAAATGTTTATTACTCCCTTTGTCCCTAACTACTTGTTCACTTTAATTTTTTTAGCTGTCATTAATTACTTGTTTATTTTGATAAATCAAGAAAGGACAATCTTTTTTACCTATTATATCATCAATTAATTACTTTGAAAAAAGGTAGAACTTTTTAAAAAATTTAAATTTTAATTCACCTACTTCATAATTAATGAAATAAAATGATAAACTCACTATCTCAAATCTCAATCATCATATTTCTTAATAGATATATCAATCATCATTTTTCTTAATAGATATATCAACTCAAAAATAGATAAATAATTAGAGAGAGAGTAAAACTCTAATAACAAACAAGGGCCACAAGCCTATTTCTAAGGACTACTATACTAATATATTTTAAACAAACACCAAACCATCAAGTAAATTTTCAAACAGGTCACTTTCCTTTCAAAAGGAAATCCGCGTTTTTCTTTTCATTACTATTCGTCCTAAGCAAAAATAATTTATACATTAGCTCTTTACGACATGTTTAGCATGGTTAAAATATAATTATCTCTTATAATCTCTTTTTACTTCTTTTTTTTATCATAATTGTGGAGAATATTTTTATATAATGCATGTTGTTTTTAATACATCAAATCAAGTAATGCATAACAAATAATATATGTATACTAAATGCAAGCATTATTAATACAATCTATTTAACATTATTTTTATACATATATTACCAAACGAGTAAGGTGTACAGATTCAATATTTGTTCATAAATTTATTTTTTAAATAGTATTTATAAAAGTATTCCAATTTTTTTAACTTTAGTTATACGTATCAGGTGATAGTAAATCATCTTATTAAGTGTAAAATGAATATCTAATAAATATTAATAAATTTTAAATGGTGTTGCTTAAATAATTTTGAATTTTTGCACTAAAATGAATTAAAGTGTAACCAAAAAATATTGTTGTTGTTTTTTGCTTTTTCCAAAAATACCTTCGTTGAAACATGCACATCAACGGCCTCTACTTAAGCCTTTAACTCCCTCTTCATGTAATTAGAGAAAGAAAAATTAGTGTTAGTGTAGTATGCAATCAAACGGATTTTATGGCATTAATATTTATGGCATTAATATTTGAGAGTATCCTTTCATAAATCTTTTCCAACTTTTAGACCTAATTTTGGGTATCTTTTACACAATCAAAATGGCAAAAGAATAAAATACTCACGTGTCTTAGTATTTAGATCAAACTAACAAATGTATATTTTTTTAACTGTATTATTAATTAATATAAGTTTTTACTTAATTTATTAATTATAATAACCTAATACAATTTGGTATCGAGTTTTTAGACCCCCTCATTGTCCTTCCCTCAATATCTCTTTTCCTTTCTTACTTAAAAATATGGAGAATTTTGACTAGTATTTTGATATTGGGGGTGTGGAATATTTTGCATGGAAGAAAGTGAAAAGTGTGATAGTGATTAAGGGATGGATTTAAAATACAAAGAAGTCAAATTAGATGGATAAGGGCATCCACCTTATCTTAGCAAAAAATGAGTTAAAGTTTTTCCACTTTTCCCTTTGTTCTCCTCCCTCCACCTCTCAATTCCCTAATACATAATTAAGTACTAGAATAAATATTTAATTGTTAAAGTAAAGGTGTAGGAGTTAGGAATGAGTGGGTTGTCCCTCCCTCCACAAAAGGGCTATCTTTCTCAATAGTAGGGGTGGCTCCATCACTATGTGTAGAGTCACCTTTACTTCTTTTTTCTTTTTTTTAAGATTGCCCTCAGTCTTAATCATAATTATCCTATTTAATAATTAGGCCTAGGTAACCTTTTCAAAGATGAATTTGGATTTATTTATCTTGGAAGAGTAAGTTGCAATTTGTACCTTTGATGTATGCATAAGTTTATAATTTTATCTCTATTTTTGAAAAGTCATATGATAATTGAAAATTTAGTAATTATACAGTATAATATTAATTACAATCACATATTTATCGTAATGTAACTACAAGCGTGTTGTTTGATTGCACAAATATAAATACATAGTTAAATTAAAATTTACAAATAAAAGTTAGCTTTCAAAAAAGTAAAAGTTAATATTTGAAAAATATGTGTCTTTTGTAAATGATACTAGGTATTTAAGATGCATATTGTTTCTTCAATATATAATAATTGATAAACATATGTTTATAACAAATATTGTAAAAAAAAATTGATATATATTTCTCAAGTTAATATATTTTGATTTAGTTAATTATAAAAATAAAAAGCTCACATTTTGTTAGAATATTATGGACGGTATGTTTGAAAAAAAAAGAGAGACTAATATCATAAATATAATGCCATACCCCATTTGTAGGGTTTCACTATATTGTTGTTGTAATGTTATAAAATTGTTCAAATGTTCGACAAAAAAATAATATACCAATTCTAACTGAAAAATGAATGAGATGCAACGTGAAAGTCAATACTACTAAACTAAATGAATTAAAATAAAAAATATAACATAAATTCTAAATTCTAATTATTTATTTTTAACATCATACTCTTATGTCAAATTCAACATAACATAAAATAAGTTTCAATATAACCTTTTCTTTTGTTTCTCACTCGGTTCTGTTACTTGCATTGGAATCCAATTATTCTAGTTTCGCATCTGGGAGGGCCCCACTCGGAGGGTAGAGTTTCTACCAATGATTTTTGCATACTCACAGTTTGAACTCAAGATATCTGGTTAATAATATAGGAGTAGTCTGATCCACTGTGCCATATCTGCCAATGGTAAGAAAATAAAACATTAGTCTATAAACTCACTTCAAAACTAGAATAATAATGCAATTTGTTAGATGAAGAAAATAAAGAGAAATAAGTACGAGCAATTACATGGAATCACAAGAAGTAAATGTTGGGAAATGAGAAAAAGGAAATGAAAGATGATTTTTTTTTTAAAAAAAAAATTAAAAAATATCAAGATGATAAAAAAATCATAAATTCGAAAAAAATCAATAAAAAACAATAAATTAAAATAAGTACAAAAAAAAAAGTAACCTTGTACTTACACCAAATAATTACCATTAGTTCTCCCATTGAGAATGGGAGAGTCCCTTGAGAATTGGATAGTGTAATTATCTCCTTCTAATTACACCAAATTCCCTATCAATCAAGTAATTACTTGATAAAATAAACATGTCAAAGTATGTAATTACATTCAATTACAATCATATTCAAATTCTCATGTCTCATTTCAAACAAGTCCTTAATTATATCACTCTTGTTTCCTTAGTTATTTGCAACACCCTAAAAAAACTCAATTTTAAAATTATTTAAGTGGACAAAATAGAAAAGTATAATAAGATAAAATAAAAAAATAAAAAAAATAAATTTTAAAACAAAAAGGCACACTAAATAATAGGTAAAATAAACATCGAATAATAGTTCATTTCTTGACTCCAATTGTAAATGTACTCCACTTCAAGTACTTTTGTGTAGTCTCTTCTTATTCCTAAAGATATACTCAAGGCTCTTTAGACATTTTAGAGAGATGAAGGGATGTAAATATACTTTGCAGGAGTAGAGATCAGACAAAACTGAAATGACACAGTATAACTATTGATTTTCAATATTACTCTTACAATATATTTTTTATGCTTTCATTTGTGTAATACCTCAAAAAATTCTACGCTAAAGAACTGAAGCATTCATCGTAAGAGTATCATCTTGGACCGAGTAATATCTTACTTTCTCATGTGTGTTAAGGTCCATTCTCAAATGTAGGAAGTGTGTTAGATGTGGTTTAGGGTCATAAAGGACCTCAAGCACTAAGTCGAATTCATAATTTTTCCATCGGCTAAGTTTTCACATGAATTCATGCAAGGGTCAACTTGAAACGACCTTATATCTCAACATATAAAGTGTTAGGTGATCCATGACCTATGAAATTAAAGGTATATGCATTTTTCATTCCAATGTCACCAACCATTTGTTGATCGAAGTTTAGAGTAGAAAGTTGTTGTTTTACAAGAAAATGTCTGGATAGGAAAATTAAGTGATGACACCTGTCAGTTCGGCAAATCACCAAAATGTATTGCTGAAACCATCAAGAACTATTAATTTTGGTGAACTGAAATACCCTTTTGGCGATGCGCTGAATATTTTAGCGATGAGACCTCCAAATCGCTAATTTGTCCAATAAAATTTATTAAAAGGTCATTTTCTTTGACTTTTAGTCTTCTTACGTTCTCCTTTTATCCTCAATTAACTTCTCTAAGTCTATCTTATAGCCTAATAATCTCTCTCATTCACGCCCAACACTCTGATAATAAAATTCAATACGTTCTTAGTTCTCTCAAGTAAGAAATTAGGGTTCTTTACCTTCAAGCTTCAGTTCAGGAATTCTGCCAAGTGTGTTCATTCTAGGTATGTGAGATTTCATCAATGGGCTGGTATCATTTCACCCATTGAGTCCCAAAGTAAACTTCTTTCTTCAGTTAATGATTTCTATGAAACTTAAGATTTCATCAAATTTCAGTTCTTCTTCATGGATAGACTTTGATTACATGTTTTTACCTATAATTCAGTGTATTTATATAGTTATTATTTTTTTTTGATCCCTTAGAATAGGAAAAATTCATGTCTTTGAACTTGTGATAATTAAATTGCATGTTCCATTTTCAGAGTATAGAAATCATGACAAGTAGTTTTACATTCAGTCTTTCAGTTCCACATATTTAAAGATGTTTTCATATAAAGTGTTTATCATTTCAGTCTTAGTTTATCAGTATTATTCAGATATTCAGTTTATCAATCAAATGTAGAACCAGAGTTGTTAAATTTCAGTT